GAATTTCCGGAGTATGGAGGCCCAGAAATCAGGATTTTAATATAAGAGTCCCCAAGTGATTCTAATGTGCAGCCAAGGTTGAGAACCACTGCTCTCTCAGATATTTAATTGAGATGCACACACAAGTATTTGAAATGGCTACCTCTTCACTGTAATGAAATAAACTCTTTGGCTGGGTTGGACACTTAATAGAACTCATCTAAACCTTAGTGGTGGTATGACATCTAGAAACATGCCTACTTATCTGAGGGGTTCATTTAACTCCAGCTTTATGAAAAGAACTAGGATGGAATTAAACCACCATCATGGAATTTGAAAGCTAATGGAATAGTGCATGTAGCTGTGCTAGATTAAAATTAAAATTACACGGGGAGCTTTTAAATTCCTGATGCCCAGGTTGTACTCCTACCATTTAAGGCAATGTCTGCAGCTGAAATCCAGACATCAGGATTTACTAGCAAGTTTAGAAACTATTGGGCTATATACAACATAGAAATAATGCAATCCAAGAAGTCTGACATAAGTAAGCTGTTGCCGAAGTGACCTCCCTGTTTCTCCCCAACAGAGGCCTGAGATAGATAAGTGGGGAACTGGCATAAAAGCTCTAGAGTGTGCTCTGAAATTAGAAGACCAGTTAACCAAGCTCCTGCTAGACCTGAAGACCACAGCTTCTGTCAACAAAGAATATGATGTAAGTAGTTAGCTACTGGTTCTGAAAGCAATGTCATCTTTCACTTCTGAATTATGACTTGCTTCTGGGAAGTGGAAGATTTCCCAGGAAAAATGTTTTCTGGATATTTACACAAAATGAGTGTTGATGCTGGCTTTTAAATCTAGACAAGGAGTGCTTAAGTGTTAATAGGTACCAGAAGCAAATGGAGGGCTTACTCAGACAACCTGACAGGCTCCACCTCCCAGAGTTTCTGATTCAATGACTTTCATGTGGTGTCCCAGAATTTGCATTTCTAACCTGTTTTCATTAAACCCTTAGTTACTTGTGGCCCACACCATAACAAAGAAACAGAATTTCCGGAGGATGAGGCCCAGAAATCAGGATTTTAAAAAGATTCCCAGGTGATTCTAATGTGCAGCCAAGGTTGAGAACCACTGCTCTATGTGATTAAAATTAAATAGAATGGAAAACCACTGCAGTAGTAGCTTGTTTAAATTAATTTGAAGAGATGCCCTAACATACTCATTGAATGTGGATATTTTCACTCACCTGGAGGTCTTGAATGTCTTAGATCAGTGCTCTTTGACCTTCTATGTGCATATCCACTGCCTAGTCCTTTCTTAAAAATGCAGGTTCTGATTAATAGTACTGGAGTGGGACTTGAGATTCTGTGTTTCTGAGAAGCTCCCAGGACTATGGGTCTATGAACTACAATTTGGGTCAGATTTTTTATTGCTTCCTGTTGCAGACAAGGTTCTTAAGGGTCTTCCCCTGTTTATTTCTGTAGTTATTATGCTTCTTGGGAAAGTTCCTGGATGAACAGGAGGAAAACACAGACAACCTGAAAATCCAGCTAAGATGTCGTAAAAGATTAGAAAATCAGGCCAAGAAGGAGAAAGACCCATTGAAAAAGCCTGCTGACATGTTAGGTAAATAGACCTAACAGCTGAAGGCAACAAAGCAAGTCTTCCCATTGTAGTAGGTCCCAAAATCAGCTGCTTAGAATCTTGATCTTCTCCATTTGACAGAAGACTGCTTTCCTTCATTGGTGTGTGTACAAATAAAACTGTTTTTGCATCATAATTATGTGTAAAGAGATTGCTATTGAAGCACAAAAATGGTTAATTCCATCAATGTAAGTTTGGTGAAAGCTTTCTGAGGACAGTGGGTGCATTACACTTAAAAAAAAAAGCCTCCTCCTTCCATGAGCCCAACAACACTCAGGTGCAGGATTAAGATCTGTGAATTTCAAACAGTCAAAGTAGATATAGTAGAAATTAAGTAGTAAAATCTAAGGTCTAACTAATGTTTTTCTCCCCTTCAACATGTATACTACATACTTAAAGTTTACAAAATAGTAGGATTTTCTTCTAACCAATGTAAAGCTAACTTCGAAAACACGAGTTTTTGTTCTAGAAATGGTGACTCACCTGAAAGATTTACAGAAGACAGGCAGCTGCAATCCAGATGCCCTTTCATAACCTGGGTATACATAAGGACCAGGAAGTTACACAGGCAATTAAGACTGCAAACAACTGTGTGGATGGATGTGCCAATGCCATCCACTGCGGGCAAGCTAGCAGCTATTGGGGTAATTACTTTCAGGAGCAAGCAATGAGCATGAGACTTGTGTGGCTAATCCATTGGGAAGAAATGGGGCTCTATAGGATTGTGTCCTGGCTCCAAACTTACTAGCTCCATGGCCTTGAGTAACTTTTTACCTCACTCATTGACTCAGTTTATTCATCTTTAAAGGAGGATTAATAATACTTAGTTCATTAAGTTAATGAGAGGATTAAGTAAATTAATATGTAAAAGTTTCCAGAACACGTTAAGAAGCCAACACATAA